CACCCCACGGCGGGGGCAGGTACGTCAGCTGGGGACAGGGACAGGACAGGACATCAGCTGGGGACAGGGACAGGACATCAGCTGGGGACAGGGACAGGGGCAGGACATCAGCTGGGGACAGGGACAGGACAGGTACGCTGGGGACAGGGACAGGACATCAGCTGGGGACAGGGACAGGATGGGGACAGGGACAGGATGGGGACAGGGACAGGGACAGGATGGGGACAGGGACATCAGCTGGGGACAGGGACAGGATGGGGACAGGGACAGGATGGGGACAGGGATAGGGACAGGGCAGGACATCTTCCCTGTCACAGGAGCTCCTCCGTTTTGGGGTGGCCCCTGCAGCCCCTCAGGGCGTCCCCCCTCCCTGGAGCTCCCTGATTCCTGGGATAACTCCCTCGGGACAAGCTGTCCCCAAGGAACTCTCCCAGTCCCAGGTGACAATGAATGTCTCAGGAGTGGGAGCAGCTGTGGAAGGATCAGCTGGAATTTCTGTCTGGCAGACTCCACTTTACAAACTGGAAAAGCTCCACCAAAGTTTCCCCAAGCAGGAAAATCTGCACATTCCCTGGAAATGTGTGGAGTTTTCTCCCAGCTGCTGCTCCCAGCCTGGCACAGGAATCCTGGGGTTAAATCCAGGGGGAATCCATCCCTAAGGAATCCATGAATCCCTTCCTGGCCAAATCAGGGCTGAAACCTCGGGAAAAGCCTTTCTATCCAAAGCCTTGATCCCATGGAACTGCTGAACTCATTTCAGACCTGGATTCCTGCTCTCCGTGCCGCTGGAGCTGCTGGAATGCTGGGAAAGGCACCCCAAGGAGCCAGGAACAGGAGCAGGATGGATGGAGCAATCCCAGCCCTCAGCCATGGAAAGAATTAACGGGAGAGACTTAATTGGGGTCAATCCCTCTCCCTGCAGCCCCTCCAGATCCTCCTCCTCCTGAGGGATTCCTGAGGGAATCCCTTTCCTTTCTTCCAGATTGTCCCAGTTTGGGGTTAGTGGGAGGGATCTGGGGCTGGATCAGCCCCGGGGTGTGGAGCTGCTCCCTCCACTGTTCCCTGCTGCCTCCAAAGTGGGAACAAACCACATCAAACAGCAGGAAAAGCAGGGAAAAGGCAGCAGGAACATCCCTGTCCTGGGATCCTGCAGGAATTATGCTCCCTGGCAGCTTCCCAAGGGCTCCTCTCCTGCTCCTGTGTAGGGAAATCCAGCTCCAGCCTCTAATTGGGGGTGACAAACTCCCAGCCTGGCCCTTTTGCTGTCGTTAATAATTAATTAATGATTTAAATGCTTTTCCAACCCTCCTGATCCCGGCTTTCTCCAGGATTACTGGGATCAGTTCCCAGCTGGCAGGAGCTAAAAGGGGAAGGAAAAAATTGATTTGACTCCTTGGAAGCTGGATGGATCCTGCTTGTCCCAAATGCCAGGAAAAGGGGGGATGAGCTTGGAAAGCCCACAGGGAAGGGATCCCAGGGGTGGGGGAGGATCAGCTCCTTCCACAGCCTTTCCCTGGCCACATTCCTGCCTTTCCACACGGCTCCTGGCACGGAGACCCCCAGGAGCTGCCAGCATCTGCCTGCAGCCACAGAGGTCATTCCTTCAATTAATTGGAAGTGCCATCCTTGTTTTTCCTGCCTGTTTCATTTTCTCAAACAGGGAAATGTGGGAAAGATGATCCCAGCAGAGGTCAGGGCAGCTTCATAAAATCCTGGAACATCCTGAGTTGGGAAGGATCCCACAAGGACTGAGTCCAACCCTGGCCCTGCCCAGGATCCCAACAATCCCTGGGATCAGTGTCCAAGCTCTCCTGGAGCTCTGGCCTTGGGGCTGGGACCATTCCCTGGGGAGCCTGGGCAGTGCCAGCACCTCTGGGGGAAGAACCTTTCCCTTCCCCATTTTCCTGTCCCTGTCCCCAGCTGATGTCCTGTCCCTGTCCCTGTCCCCATCCTGTCCCTGTCCCCAGCTGATGTCTGGACACACATTTCCTCTGTCCTGGCACCCATCCCTTGGAAAATGACACCTCAAACATGGGAAATGTTCTTTAATTCCTCCTAATTCCCAAATCCCAGTGCTTCCACCCTGACTGCAGATCAGCCTTTCCAAGCCATCCCTGAATCCCATTTTCCTGCCTCTCTAATCCCACTCTGGAGCTGCAGTTCTGCTCTCTATCCCATAAAACCTTTGGAAGGGATGAGCCTCCAGAGCCCCATCAAACAACGTTCAGAACCTGGGGCTTCACTGAAGCCTCTGAAATTTTTGTGGCCAACTTGGCAGGAATTGCCCTTTTCCAGGTGCTTCCCATCTTCCCTGAATGTCCTGTGCAGCTCTGTCGGGAAGTCTGATCCCATTCCTGACAGAGGAGGTTTGGAAAAAGCCTGGAAAAAGGAAAGGAAGGAGGAATTTCTCTTTCTTCATGGGATCAGCCCTTAAAAATACGGATTTTAGTGCATCCATCCAAGCCTTGTCAGGGAAAAGGGGAATATTGCAGGGATAGTGCAGGCATAGTGCAGCTTCCCAAGGTCTGGAGGGGGAGATTCCAACACCAGACTCACCCAAAAGTGCCAGGAAAGGTGAAAATGGAAGGGGATCCATCCAAAGCTGGGAGTGTTGGGAGCTGAAGGGCAATTCCCAATTCCAGGGGGTCCTGGCCTCCCTTGGGATCCCTCTGGAGGTGATGGATCCTTCCCAGCTCCCATTCATGAGCACACAAACCTCACTCATCCACTCAGGAGTTGCCATGGAAGCGCTCCTGGAGATCCCAGAGCATCCCTGAGGGAGGCCCAGGGCACCGTGGCTGGGACAGGGTTCCTCCCATGGGAAAGGCAGCAGCTCCGTGCTCCCGGATCCATGGGAAGGGCTCCAGCTCCTTTCCCTCAGCTCTCGGGCATGGAGGGGGATCCAGGGAGGATCCAGCTCCTCCTGTGCTCATTCCAATCATCCATCCAGTGCTTCCCTCAGGGAGCTCAGCCTCGGCTCCCCTGAACTTCAGCCATTGTTCCAGTCTCAGGTTTCATGGGAATCCTGGAATGGTTTGGATTGGGAGGGACCTCAAATCCCACCCATTCCCACCCTGCCATGGCAGGGACACCTCCCACTGTCCCAGGCTGCTCCAGCCCCAATGTCCAGCCTGGCCTTGGGCACTGCCAGGGATCCAGGGGCAGCCCCAGCTGCTCTGGGCACCCTGTGCCAGGGCCTGCCCACCCTGCCAGGGAACAATTCCTGCCCAATATCCCATCCAGCCCTGCCCTCTGCCACTGGCAGCCATTCCCTGCCTCCTGTCCCTCCATCCCTTGGAAATATTCCCTATTTTTCCTGGAGCCCCTTCAGGTCCTGGAAGGTCACAGTTTGGTGTCTCCTGGTGTCTCCTCCAGGTTGAACAATCCCACTTTTTTTCAACCAGGAAACGTCTCCCTTGGCCACACATCCCATAAGCAGCTTGGCCTCTTTAACTCATCCACCCCATTTTAAGGACAAACCTCCTCCTGGAATTTACTTTCTCAGCAGTTTTTGTTGCTGACTCAGCATTCCCAACCCTGACACTGCCAGGTCCCTCCTGGGACGCTCCAGAGGTCACTCCTGCATCAACTCCCAAAGCGGGAAATGCATCCCAAAAGTGTCTCCTTGCAGGAACTACGGGGTGCAGCCACTGGAGGAGGAGCAAAAGCTGATTTAATTCCCATTTTTCCAGCCTGGGAGCTCATTGTGAAGGAGATTTATTGAGATCCCAACCACGGAGCCAGAGCTGGCTCTGGACAGGGGATTTTGGGAAGCTCTGTGTGGAAAGCCAGGATTTATCCCCTGGTCCCAAGATGTGAATCCTCACTGGTGCTGGCAGCTGCAGCCCTGGGAAGTCAGAAAATCAGGGAGCAAAGCCCAGGGAAAGCTCTGATTTCCAGAGTGGGATGAAGAAAGAAGGGAGGAATTTGAGCAGGGCCACAGGAAATGATTCCAGAGCCAGGAATGAACCCCCCACACCCCAAATTCTGTCCCACAGAGTATCCACAGCTCCCAACATCCCAAATCCTCCCCACTCCACACTTTTTATCCCTGAATAAAGAGCTCAGAGCCTGAGGCTGCTCTGAGCAGGGAGATGGGAAACCATCTCCACTTTATTCCTGTTTTTTTCTGGCTGCAGGATCATTTCTTTTATGGCTCAGGGTGTAAAACTCCAGGTTCAGGACCCCAATAACTTCCTGGGCTCAGTCCCTGGGGGATTTTCCTGGAGCTGTTCCACCTTTGGCTCTGCTTTATTAAAGGAGCAGCACAGACGGAGAGATTTAGTTGGAAAAACCCAGACTAAATGAGGGATTGGGATAAAAGCTGCACATTGGGAAGGTGGGGGAAGCCCAGAAGGTCCCTGAGGGATAATTAATTAGAGGAAGTTATTAATGGCTGTAATTAGGTTAAAAATGACTTTCTGGGAAGAGGGATTTGGGTGGGAGCTGAATGCAGGAGATCCCTCCAGCTTTCCTGGGAAAAGTTTTGGAGGCCTCAGATGGTTCTAAACCAGTCAGAAAATGCCAGGAATGAGCCCTTCCCTCTCCCAGCAGCAAAACTCTGGCAAAACCCCTGGAAAAAGGGACACCCTGGAGCTGAGAGCCCTAAATCTGTTCTTCTGTCCTCTTCATTTCCCAAGTGAAGGGAACCTTTGGGGAGGGATGTTTCCCCTCTCTCTCACCTGGAGGATGTTCTCCTGGTTGGAATTCTCAGTTTTAATGGAAATATTGAAATAGGCAGTGCTGGCAATGGGGTGGGGAAGGATTCCAGCAGCTGCAGCAAAGCCCTGGAGTTTGCACCAATTTAACCCAAAGTCCTTGAGATCCTCTCTGAGGCTCCAGCTCCCAGCCCTGATCCCAAATCTTACCCAGGATGGGATTTTTAAGGAAGACAAATCTTTTCAATCACTGCTGGAGCTGCCAGGTGGGTCTAACTCAAGGAGCTGTTCCCAAAATCTTTGAGCATCAGGCACCACACGATGCCCTGTCCAGCCCTTCCCATCCCTGTCCATCCTTGTCCATCCATCCATCCATCCATCCATCCATCCATCCATCCATCATCCATCCGTCCATCATCCATCCATCCATCATCCATCCATCCATCATCCATCCATCCATCATCCATCCATCATCCATCCATCATCCATCCATCCATCATCCATCCATCATCCATCCATCCATCATCCATCCATCATCCATCCATCATCCATCCATCCATCATCCATCCATCATCCATCCATCCATCCATCCATCCATCCATCCATCCATCCATCATCCATCATCCATCATCCATCCATCCATCCATCCATCATCCATCCATCCATCCATCATCCATCCTCCATCCATCCTCCATCCATCCATCATTCATCATCCATCATTCATCCATCCATCATCCATCATCCATCCATCCATCCATCATGTGGATGTGTCACTGCTGGGATTCATGGAAGACAGTGATTCCTGGGTATCCCATCAGAGTTTGTCATAAATCATGGGGATGTTTTGGTGTCACCTGAAAGATTCCCGTTGTTCTCCATCAGGAAATTATCCTCCTGCCTCTTTTTATATCCTTGGAATGTGTTTTTTCCTGGGAAAACTCTGGTGGGTTGGACAGGACTCAACACTTGGAGCTGCCACTGCTCAACCATGGAAGAGCAAAGCAGGGAAGTCACCAGGGATGAAATCCCTTCTGGAGATGGAATTGCTGTGGGACTTTAAGGAGCTGTGGGAATGCATGGGACCTGGGAAAGCTGCCCTCATCCCAAGAAATGTGAAGCAAGGCATCAAAAACCTGTTGGAGCTGCATCTCAAGGGGCATCAGCTACAGAGAAGGAACCTCTCCCAGGAAGCCCCGGAGGGATCCTGGGGTGGAACAGGAAATCGGGACTTACTCTTTGCTCCTGGGTGGCCACAAAGGTCTGGAATCCAGGAGCCACCCCAAATCCCAGCTCCTGGACGAAGGGAGGCTCAGACTGGCTGTGGATCTGCACCTTGACTCCGGCCTCGAATGTCGTCTCCTCTGGAAGAGAAGGGGGAGGTTAGGGAGCTCGAGAACAGCTGGAATGTTCCCACCTGGATGATCAGATCCCTGGCAACTGAGGGAGGAAATCCAGCAATTGGATCTGCTGGGAGCAGAAACTCCTGCACCTCATCCCAAATCAGCTCCCATTGGCACCAGGAGCATCCCTGGCTCCTGATCCTCCCTGGAACAGTGGCTCCAGCCTGCTCTGAACTTCCAAAGAAGAGAAAGGGGGGACCTCTCATTTCCAGCTGGAATTTGGTTGGAGGACACTTTGGTGACATTCCCACATCACCAAAACAAACCAACTCCTCCTTCCCCAGCACGAGCTGTTCCCACTCTCCAGGAGGGCTCCAGTGCTGAGGATTCATGGATTCATGGATTCATGGATTCATGGATTCATGGATTCCCCTCTGCTGTCCCATCCCTGACACAGCTTGAGGTCACTTGGGAATGTTGGTCATGAAATGACATAAAAAATGTCCTAAATGTTTTTTGGGATTGGCAGCTGCTCCAAGCTGGAAAAGCCTTTTGGGCTTGGACACATCAGAGCTCAGGGTGATGGGAGGTTTCCACATCCCAAATCCACCTGGAGTAACTTGAGGTCAGTCCCTCTTTTCCACTAAAATGAGTGGACAAAGTCACAAAGTGGCTTTGGAAGAACTGAGGAGATCAGATGGGCCCCGTGGGCTCCTGGCCCCACACACCCAGGGCTGGCACCTCCTCTCCTCGGGATTCCTGCTGCTCCCACATCCCAACAAACCCGAGATTCCACCTGGGGCTAAGGAATGACAGAGGAAGTTGTTAACAAAGCCAAATTTGTTCTAAACCTGGAATATTCCTGGACCTGGATCCACGCTGGTGACCAGCAGTGCCACCTCCACATCTGAGGAGCTTCTGTTGGAGGATGAATCATTCCTCAGCTTCCCACTATTCTGTAGGATTTTCCTACTATTTCATTGTGCATTTCAATTTCTAACAGCTCTGGGAGAATTTCAGGGGAATCCCAACCATTCCCAGCTCTGGAGCTGCTTCTCCAGGGTCTGCATGAAGAAGGTTGGGAGGACACTGGCAGGGGACAAGGGGACAATGAGGGAACACTGGATGAGGTTTTGTGGATCTCAGGAATTCAGGATTTAACTCTGCTGGCAAAGGGCTCTGCCACCTTCTCCCAAGAGAATTTTCCTCACAGGATCACGGAACCCTGGAATGGTTTGGGTTGGGAGGGACCTCAAATCCCACCCAGTGCCACCCCTGCCATGGCAGGGACACCTCCCACTGTCCCAGGCTGCTCCAGCCCCAATGTCCAGCCTGGCCTTGGGCACTGCCAGGGATCCAGGGGCAGCCCCAGCTGCTCTGGGCATCCTGTGCCAGGGTCCCACTGCCAGGAATTCCTTCCCAAAATCCCACCTAAACAGATCCTGCTCGCCCAGAAGCTGCCAAGGCAAAAAAAGCGAGAGCGCAGCAGTGGGGATGGGTTCAGGTTGGAATTTGCCTGGATAAATGGGAGCATCCCAGTGCTTGGATCCCCTCCCTTCCAGCCCCTCCAAGGTGTCACCTCCCAGCTCAGCAAGATCCAAACTGATGCAGGAGTCTGGAATTCTGGAGCCCCCGGGCCAGACACTGCTGTCACCTCCTGGGAAAAGCCCAGCCCCAAAGCACACATTCCCACAGTTTTTGGGAACAAACCCCTGCCAGCTCTTCCCAAATGCCTTTGGTGATGGAGAACATCCCAATCCCATCCCAATCCCATCCCAATCCCATCCCATCTCCACAGCCCCACAGCATCCCAGGATCTGCCCCAGCTGCCCAAATCCCAGACCAGGCTCAAATGCCTCCCAAGATCCCCCCAACCCCTCCAGCTCCAATTCCCATCCCATCCCTCCCACTTCTGCCGATCCCACCCACCCCCACGGCTCTGCCGGGTGTTGATCCCCTTCCAGCACTCCAGAGGAGATTCCATCTGCTTCCCTCAGTAATTCCCTGACACCTCAGATGAAAATACTCTTATTTAGTTGAATTTGTTGGGCAACAGGAATTTTCCCAAAATATTTTCCATCCAAAACTCCTCTGCCCATTTCTGCACCTGCCCCAGCTCTAACTCCATGGATTTCCCATGTCCAGGTCTATCCACGGGTAAATCCCTGTCCATCCATACCAAGATCCAGCCTGCAGGTATCCAAATTAATCTTAAAAACAGCAGGATTTGGAATTTTGAATGGGAAATCCTGGAATGAAGCCAGCGGTGCCCATGGAAAGGGAGGGAAAGGAAACATCATGGAAAAGACTTTGGGATTAAACCCCACATTTGTGGAATTCCATCAGTGATGATAACCCAGAAAACAAAATAAACAGGATTTTTAAAGAAGAGCTGCCAATCCCAGGCAGCTTTCCTTGTTTTTCCTGCACAGGGATGAAACCAAAAACATGGAATTGGCTTGGAAAAATTGTCCCTTCTCCTAAAATATCTATTCCTTCCAAAATCCCTGTTTGCTGTAGGAGAGGGGAGTTAAGAGCCCAGCTTGGATGAAGTGCCTGGATCAGAACTCATTAACTGCATCCTAAATATTCCACACCCATGCTGGGATTCAGGAGCTTTAGTGAAGATTAAATATTTCCTGGAATTGTGAGAAAAGGGAGGGCCCAGCAGCACCAAAAATCTGGGTTTGGGTTCATTCATTTCGGAAGGAATTTTCCCTGGACACAGCAAATCCCAAAGGGCTCCGTGGCACTGGAGAGGGCTCTGAATGTCCCAGGGGAAAATCCCAGCCATGATTTTATTCATATTTCCAATTTTAGGAATTTTTGACCATTTTACAACTTTTTTTTTCCAATTCAACTTTCTTTTCCCATCATTTGGAATGGCTTTTTCTGGGACTTCTGGGACTGAGCCACTGATCTTCCCATCCCAGTTTTTACAAACACCCATCACCATGGGGAAAAATTATCCTGGAATCCTTGGATTTGCTCAGAGAAACTAAAATCAGTCCCAATCCCTTGGGATTTGGGTTGCACTTCCCAGTTTTTAACCTCGTTTGGGATTTTTGGAACACTTAATTTATCCCCAGTCCCACTCTCAGGGCTTGGAAATTCAGTTTATAGCCCATTTGAGGTTGGGAATAATAAAAAATTCCTTGGAAATTGCGTTTTCCCATACAGTAAATCCATTCCTGTACCCAGCAGAGTCTCCCAATGAATCCTGAGCCCAGTTTTTGGAATCACCCATCAATGTGGGGAGAAATAACCCTGAAATCTTCGGATTCAAAATCAATCCCAGTCCCTTGGGATTTGGCACACCCCAGTTTTAAACCTTATTTTGGGATGTGAGGAAGCCAAACCAATTCCTTCACCTCCAGCTCCACTCTCAGAGCCTGGAAATTCTGCTTTTAGTGCATTCCAGGTTGGGAATAACCCAGGGTTCCTTGAGAACTGCATTTTCCCACACATGAAATCCATTCCTGCTCCCAGGGCGGTGTCTCCCAACAAATCCCGGGCTGTTCTTTTCCCTGCAGGATTAAAGGAGCTTGAATTAAATCTGGGATTAATTCAGCACCTGCTCCCAGCTGGCTGCAGGGGGAAGCTCAGCTTCCTATTCCTGCTGTTGCTTTTCCACGGCGTTTTTGGGAAGAGCATCCCTGGAAAACTCTGCAGGGAGCTCCGGTAGAGCTTGGCTGGGACGAAAATTCAGGAATTAAAATTCCAAGTGCTGCCAAAAGCAGGAGCTTCCCTCTCACCCTGGCTGGTCCTGTCCAAACACATCCAGTTCCACCTGGGAATGAACAGATCCTGGTGCTGATTTATTGGGAAATGAGGATACAGCCAGAGCTGGGAGGTGTTTCTGGTGGAATTGTTATCCCCAGTTCTGAAATGTGATTCCTCACTTCTGGAACTGTTATTCCCAGCTCTGCAATTGTTATCCTCTGGAACTGTTATCCTCTGGAATTGTCAGCCCCAGCCAGCAGCTCCGGGGGGATATTCCTGCTTGGAGAAAGCCAAAGCAGGTCCCACACGGCTCCATCTGGGAATTCCTCAGTAAATTCCCATAAATCTTCTGCATCAGAGGGAAAAGAGCTGGGAAAGGTTTGGATTCTCCTGGATTTTCACTGTCCTTGGCCTCAGCCTCCCTTCTGTATAATGGGAACGACATCCCAAGGAATTCCTTGGGCTGGAAGTGTCTCCAAGGGCTCTTCCCACCCCCAGGAGGGGCCGGGGGGGGCAGCGGCGCTGGGGCAGCCGCAGGAGCCACATCTGGCAGGGAGCCCAGATGTGCATCCTGGGAGGGCACTCGGGCCTGGGGTTCCCAGTGCTCCTCGAGAAGGAAGGACCTGGAGCAGGAGCCAGACATGGCCTGGGAATGCTGTGGGATGCTGAGTTCATCCCGAGGTTTTCCAGCATCCTTTGCTTGGTATCGCCATGGAAACGGTGAGCCAGGGATCCCCAACCTGCCCAGGGCTCCCCAAACTTCCCAGGGCTCCCCAAACCTTCCCAGGGCTCCCCAACCTGCCCAGGGCTCCCCAAACTTCCCAGGGCTCCCCAACCTGCCCAGGGCTCCCCAACCTGCCCAGGGCTCCCCAAACTTCCCAGGGCTCCCCCATCTTCCAGGGCTCCCCCGCTTCCCAGGAACCACCCACCTCCTGTGTGACCCCTGGGAAGGGCAGGAATTCCCAGCATGGGATGGAGCAGCCTGAGCTGCTCTGGGTGTGCTCCCTGTTCCCACCAAGCCCGAAATTCCCCAAATCCTCCCACATTCCTCGTGATTCCGGGACTCGGATTTGTGTCCCCAGGTGCCCCCAGCCCCAGCTGAGCAGGGGATCCCTGGACGTTGTTTGTGCTCCCAGGGAGTCTCCTGCCCCTCCAACCCCTCCATATCCAGGCAGGAATCTTGACCGAGCTCCCAACGCTCCCATTTTTCCCAGATAAAGATTTCTAGATTAAAACAAAACATCCAATTGCCATGGAAACGTAGCTTCAAGGAAGTGGGAGCTGCAATCCCACCCTGG